AGAGAGAGAGAGAGAGAGAGAGAGAGAGAGAGAGAGAGAGAGAGAGAGAGAGAGAGACAGACAGAGAGAGAGAGAGACGAGCGGGGCGGGATGAGAAGCACAGCGGGATGACGAGCGCGGCAAGAGGAGAGCAGCGTGGCGGGAGGACCAGCGAGGCGGGAGGAGAGCAGCCGTTCACTGAGAGTCCAACATTCGTTCACGGTCGCTCACAGCCGTTCACAGCCGTTCGCAGACATTCACAGCCGTTCGCATGGCCGTGAACGAAGTGCGGGCCTTTCACCTACCGTTCAGGGCCTCTCAGCAGCTCTGCTGCGTTTGTGGGGGGGGAAGTAAGGGCCGTCGCTGGTGGCGTTTGGTGGCCTGCCGGTTGGGCGGTGGGTGAGCGGTGCTCGTGTGCTGTGGGGGGATTTTTATGGGGGCTTCCTGCGGGGGCTTTTGGGTGGGGGGCTTTCAGTGGGGTTCTGTGAGGGCCTTTTGGTGGTGGGGGCTTCCGGTGGGGGCTCCCGGTGGGGGGCCGCGGCCTGCAAGGCTTCCGGGGGGCTGCTGTGGGGGGCTTTCGGTGGGGGTTTCCGGAGCGTCAGAATGCCTCCAAAGAAGAGGAAGGGGGAGGGGGAGCGTGCTAAGGAACCATTCAAGCCCGTCAGCTCGGAGGAGCAGCGCGAGGCAATTGCTCGCTGTTGTGTTTTCAAGTACCTTACGAAGGGGCAGACGTTGGACAATTGCGAGGGGAACTACAAGATGAAATGTAATTTCTGCGACAAGCCCCCTTTTCAGGGGAGTCAATCGCGGGGGGCGGACCACTTCGCCAAGGGGCAGTGCCGGAGGGTAACGTCGGAGATACTCGTCGACATTTGGAACACGACGGAGTACCCCTTCAACAAGCGGCGAGAGAGACAGGTGCGGGATTATATGGAGTATTGTGGCATCCCGAATAGGGGAGAGATGGTGGAGTTGGACGGGCGGCGGTGGACGAGGTGCAGGGTGTTTTGGACGAGGAGGGGGTGGATGGCGAGGGAGGAGAGCACTGAGACGACGAAGGTTGTGTCGGTGCAGGGGAGGGGACTGCTCAACGTGGGCCACTGGGCAAGGATTCAGAGGGGGACGGCGACGACGAGGATGCGGAGGAGTTAGGAACATCCCTTCAAGGGGGGGGAGTTAGAGGGCCACGTGCGGGTCGTCAGCCGACGGGTCATGGCGGTATCATGATGGATGGACGTCGGAAGCCGAGGGCGGACACTACTCCTGCGGTGAGCGCTCCAGAGTCGAAGCGCTTAAAGCAGGTTAGGTTGGACGAGGTATACGATCCGGAGTGGCAGGCCACCTTCGACCATCTGTTCCTTCAGTGGTGGTATATCGGCGGCATCCCATTTAAGAGGGCGAGGATGGCGGAGTATAGGGCCCTCTCATAACATGTGCAGAACATGCCGAGGGGCGTGAAGCCTGCTTTGCCCCAGTTCAGGCGCATAGCAGCCATTGGCATACAAGAGGCGCATTTGCACATAGCTGATAAGCTACGTGACATACACGGTCAGATGGAGCACACAGGGGCCACCATCCTCACAGATGGGAGGAAGTCCATAAACTTTAAGCCCATCGTCAACTTCCTGGCAGCTGGACAGTTGGGCACCTTCCTTTACACGACGGTTCGCAGGGAAGGGGTTGACACATAGACTGCAGATGTGGTGTTGCGGCGGTGGAAGAAGGTGTTCGAGGACTTCGGCGCGAAGAAGATAAATGCTATCTGCACGGACTCCACATCAGTTCTTGTCGCTGTCGGCCGCGCACTTCGCGATGACCCCGATCCAGATATCCGTCGCATCCCTTGGCTCCCTTGTTCTGTCCATTGCTGCAACTTGATGTTGTTTGATATGGTCAAGGACAAAACATGGGCCATTGAGTTGCTGACGAGGGCGAGGGCGGTTGTGCGCTTCATCAGGTCGCACAGTTTGGCTCTCGACTTGTTTAGGATTTACTGCGCCAGGGCCGATCGCGGTACACGGCCCGAGCGTGTCAGTGGCAGCGCCGCAGGTGGAGTGGAGGCACGCGGCAGAGGACGACGGGGCCGGGAGTTGTTGTACCCTTGCCAAACGCGATTCACGTCTATGTATATCATGATGGAGAGGTTGCGCGACCGTAGGGTTCCACTGGAGACGATGATGTTGGAGGGGGATTGGGCGCGACTTCCATGGGAGAGGAGGCTCCTCGCCCAGGCTGGTTGGGTGCGCACACAGGTGTGATGTGGGTTGTTTTGGGAGGAGATGGATGATCTAATCGACGTCTTCACCTCAGTCGTGCAGTTATTGAGGCAGTTGGACCAGGGGGGGTTGGTGATCTCGTGCATCTTCCGGTGGGTGACGCAGATGGTTAAGGAGATTCGGAAGTTGGAGTTAGCGGGACCTCGCCTGGTTGGGATGTTGCAGGATTGCTACGGCCGAGCGTGCCATCTCTTGGAGCCTGCCCATGCCACTGCCCATCTTCTAAATCCGAAGAGGCGGAGCTTCGTTTACTTCCAGTCATGTGGTCGCAACTCTCAACAGAAGAAGGTGGCAGAAATGACCCTGGAGTACATCTACACGCAGACCGCCTTCGACCAACGGGGCGAGAGGTACCGATTGGTCCGTCAGCAGGTGTACGACTTCCACTCCCGTGGTCCGAGATATGATTGGGGTGGAGATGCGAGCACTGGGGACAAGGACATGTGCCAGGGGGTGGACGAGACACAGGCGATTGCTGATTGGTGGGTTCTGCACGGCGGGTGTGCCCCTGAGCTTTGTAGCATCGCCACACGTCTGATGTACACGTGGCTATGAGCCTCTCCTGCAGAGAGGAACTGGGCGCTGCACAAGCGCATCCACGAGAAGCGCCGCAATGACTTAGACTTCACGAAGCTAACCGAAATGGTGGAGATGTGCGCGAACAAGAAGCTTCTGACATGTAGAGCGAGGAGGAGGAGACTTCTTCTGCCGTGGGGTGATCTGGAGGAGTGGTTGGACGATGTCCCGGAGCCACGACGTTCAGGCACTCTGCCGCCGGGGTCGCTGACAGACGCGGAGATCAGACGGCAGGCGCGCAAGATGCAGCGTGCCTCGACGGTCCGCCACCCGCCTTCGGTCGAGAGTGTGTTTGGTCGTCACGCGGCTCATATCGAGCTGTACGACGAGGAGATTGAGTACGAGCCGCCCGTCGACCCACAGGCTGCGGACGAGATGGAGGCTGAGGCATGGACGGACCCAGAGGAGTTGGAGCAAGAGGGCAGTGACGCGCCTGAGGGTGGTGAGGACTCCAGCGGGGAGAGTGAGCATGCGGCCGCCAGTTATATGCGGTCTCGGGATCGATAGAGCCATTGCGAGCGCACTCCATTGTCGAGAGCGGAACGCATGGCTGCGAGAGGGCGCAACCAATCATAGGTTGTGCGATCGTCGAGTGAGGACGATGAAGGTGAGGACGGGGATGTCGTCGATGATGAGGACTCCGATGACGAGTACATGTTGGAGGAGAGGACCCCGATGGAGCGGCCTTGCAGGGGACGGAGTGCAGCGGCGACGGTGGGGCAGTTGATGGCACAGCGGGTGACGCTGGCCTTCACTCCTACTGCAGGCGCAGCGGGCGTGGACGTCGGCGGCCTGCAGGGATATGGTTTGGATGTGCCGTAGGGATCGATTCCATCTGGCATATTCAGGGACGACTTCGATGTTGGTCGCCCGCCTACTTCGGAGGCGAGAGGCGGTGGGGTGCAGGTTCGGACACCGGCGAGTGATGTTGTGCACCACATAGGGTCGGTTTTTGTTGGAGTGAGCCGAAGCGACAGGCAAGGGCAAGGAGGGCAGGCGTGGCGACGAGGTTGACTACAGGCCTCCATCGGCGGTTAGAGACGCCGCAAGGCGGCTAGACATGGACCCGGAGGACATCCTCGAGGAGGAGCGGTTGAGAGAGATGGTCGCTACGTGTGCCACGACATAGCGGCTTGCGTTGGAGCGGGACACGACCAGGGCGAGGGAGATGGGATGTGTCGTGGAGGCGGTCACTGCCGTGAGATTAGCAGCGGAGTCTGGACACGCCAGTTGTGCGACGGGGACGGTCGATGGCCACGACGGGGATGACGACGGCACCAGGGTGGGGTTGGATGACACATTTGGCGATGGGATCGCATGGCGCCGTGATGACGACGTCGCGACGAGGGGGACGGGGGCGACGTTGCTGTCACGGCTTGGGGGGTTGCCTATGTGCGATGGCACCGAGGAGGACCGACAGCTGGATGTAGCACATGTCGCGTTGACAGATGCTGTACCACATCGCTTTGGGGTGGAGGATGCTGTACCAGATCGCACTGAGGAGGACATGGACCCGGATGGAGCAGTTAGCACCGCCACCGCCCCCGTTGATGCACCAACGGTCACCATGTCTGCACTGGAGCACCACGCTGCCAGGATAGATCCAGTGATGGGTAGGAGCAGGCATATATCGGAGCGGCTATGGAATGTCGTGCCTCCGTTTTTTGTACTCCCTATGAGTTCGTCAGTGCCCTCCGGTGTATCGGGGAATGCTGCGAGGTGAATGGAGATGGCAGACCTGTTCGAGCAATTGACAGGTCAGAGAGTCATCAAGCCGGCGTAACTCCTGACAATTGTTGCACTCCAACATCGTCACCGTCCTCGCTGCGATGGCTGCCAGCACTCCTCCGCAGACGTTTCGCTCCGGTGTGCGATGCACCGGTCTGGAAACCCCGGGTGTGGATGTGTTTCAGTGAAGGGTTCAAAATTCGAAATTCGAACAGGGATGTTCACGCCTTTTTTTTTCCCAGCCCAGAAAGCCTCCTTGCCGCCGCCACCGGACCACGCCCGAGGACGCACGGACATCCCACCGCACCAACGGACATTCAACCCCGCGGCGGCGTATGTGCGTATGAAATTGGCCGCGGAAGACCTCCAAGGGTTTTCCTTGGGACCCATTGAATTAGGACGCGGTGTAACGACGACGGTGACAACCGGAAATTTTCCAAGGACCTCATCCTTATTCCTGAGGAGTTTCCAAGGAGGGTCTAACGAGGCCCTATCTTTGGTATCGACCACCCTCGATTCTTACATAATTTATTTTTTTTCTTTAGAAGAAAGACATCATTCCATTATATGCCAGAAACGGGTCTGGTGTCCCTTACATATAAACCGCAGTCATACAGGGCTGGGAAAAACACTCCCGAGTCCCGACCAATCCCATCCCCGACTGCAGCCAAAAATCAGGCAACGTTGCTCAAACCCTAGCTGCCACTCACTAGTCATTTGAAAGCTGATGCAATTCAGAAAAAAAATGAATCTAACACCACCGAACTTAGTATCTCATAATTACTCATTAATACTAATATGCTAATAATTACAATTCCTTATTAATTACCAACCCAAATACGCTAATTAGACAAATGTAATTATGATTCCCCTACAGAAATACTATCTCTATTTTCATTTTTCTTCCTCCCTATCTAATTACTATTCCCCTGTGTTCTAATTAATATCCCCTAATTATTCCACAATCACCGTGTGTTTAAACTAAACTAACCCAGCATATAAAACCAATTAAAACCAAACTAACTTTCCTTCCCCCTATCAGATTACCATTCCCTAGTGTTTTGATTAGTATCCCCTAAATTTCCATGACCGCCACCAACTCCATAATTATGTATCTACAAAAAGCAACCCAAATCACAATACGTCTTGCTAAGCCCAGAAGTAGAGGCTATAGACCTCATTAGCTAGAAACACAAACGACAACAAAACCGTGTGAAGCCGACTGTTGCAATCCAAATCCTTCCACCGATGAACAGATCGCCGACGACATAACTAAAACAGGGTCGCCAACCTGTGGGCTCATGTGCAATTCTACTCAACTCTAAAAAACGGGCCAAAACATCTCATCCAGCAGCACCAACGCGCCAATAGCAAGGGAGGAGCGTAATCAGTCGATCTGTCGTCCCCAACACAAGCACAGCACCCCAAATGTCGATGCCAAACACCCCAACCTTCCATTCCACCGTCGATCAGGCATACGCCAAGCACTTCATCAGCATCGCCAAGCTCGGTCGATATCATCTCCCAACTCTTGGGTTCTGTATCTGAAACCAGGGGACTGCGCCCCTGATTGGTTGATAATTCTGGTATAACAACAACGTCCAGATCCCGCCCGCTGACTGTCCCCACATCACTCTCCTATCCCTCCACAGTCAACCAGGATTACTGACCCCTGTCAGCCGAGACTGGCCCATGGCAGGAGCATGGCAGTGCCCCTCTACATGTGTCCCCCCCCCGTAGCGCCCTAGCGCCTTCCTCCACGCACCGCCACCCCACCAACAAGTTCTGGCACAGCGTCGCCTTCGTTGAGGCGACACCAACGCGGTCCCCAGTTGCCCAGACATCGCCCCCCCCCCCGGCGGCATGCGTTAACGCTGCATTATCGTAGTGCTAACGCGACCGCCGTGGGCTCAACCATGGACCCAACATTGCTTTTTTATTTGTGGCGAGGATTTGGGCATGTGGAAAATGAAAACGGATTTCCGGCTTCTCTGCTACAAACTGGGTCTCGAGAGGATCTCCCTATCACCCTACCTTTTTTTCCTTCTTTTTTGTTTCTTTTTTGGGAAAATTTGTCAGGCACCCCTGTAATTTGCGTTATTTCGTGTCGCGCCTCTCTGATGGCTGAGTTACCCTGTCGCGCCCCTGGGCCAAAAAATATTTTTGGCAGGCCCTTGTCGGTAGTGACCGCAACTTTCCAGACGCCCTCCTTGGACTGACGGTCGGGTGTTGTGCCATATGCCCTCATCACGGGCAGCCATCTTTCTTCAATGGGCCGCAACTGTGAGGCACCACAAATTCGTATTTCCATCGGGCCCTGTGCCATACCGTCCGCTTCCCTGCAAGTGTGTGTGTGTGTGTGTGTGTGTGTGTGTGTGTGTGTGAGAGAGAGAGAGAGAGAGAGAGAGAGAGAGAGAGAGAGA